GGAGCCCAGAACTGGACACAGGACTCCAGATGTGGCCTCCCCAGGGCTGAGGAGAGGGGCAGGATCACCTCCCTCGCCCTGCTGGCAACACTCTGCCTCATGCACCCCAGGAGACCATTGGCCTCCTTGGCCACAAGGGCACACTGCTGGCTCATGCTTAACTTGTCCCCCAGCACTCCCAGGTCCTTCTCTGCAGAGCTGCTTTCCAGCAGGCCAGCCCTCAGCCTGTCCTGGTGCATGGGGTTATTCCTGCCGAGGTGCAGGACCCAGCACTTGCCTTTGTTGAACTTCATGAGGTTCCTCTCCCCCCACCTCTCCAGCCTGTCCAGGTCCCTCTGAATGGCAGCACAGCCTTCTGGTGTGTCAGCCACTCCCCCCAGTTTAGTATCATCAGCAAATTTGCTGAGGGTGCACTCTGTGCCTTCCTCCAGGTCATTGATGAATACATTGAACAAGACTGGGCCCAGGACTGACCCCTGGGGGACACCACTAGCCACAGGCCTCCAACTTGGACTCTGCGCCGTTCACCACAACCCTCTGAGCTCGGCCATCCAGCCAGTTCTCAAGCCACCTCACTGTCCACTCATCTAGCCCACACTTCCTGAGCTTACCTAGGAGGATGTGATGGGAGACAGAGTCAAAACCTTGCTGCATCTTATTTATTTGTAAACTTAGAGTGCTATTTTTGTCTAATTATATACATTCTAAAAATCTATTACTACTTTTAATAGCAGAATTTCTGTGGGGTCTACAGATTTGTACTTTGTGCTTCCTCCACTGACTTAACATGAGCAACTACTGTACAAATAATTTTCTTCCTATTGCTAACCCTTTCCCAAAGCTGATCTGACCTAGCTGAAGTTAGAAGCTGTTCTTCGGAGATCTCAGCCTGTGAAGTGTCATTAGAGCTCCCCTTTCTTCTCCTGAGTGTTGGACTGGTTAATCCAGTGCAATTCTCTCTCCCCGTGGACCCCAGACCCCATGATCCTGCATGGGACAGGGAGAGGGAGAGGGAGAGGGAGAGGGAGAGGGAGAGGGAAAGGAGCTCCATGCACAGCAGTACCCCCAGTAGGCCCTGGGGATTGGAGGAGGGACTAGGCAGGACAGCGTAAAACTGAGTAAAAGACCAGGATTGCAGATAGCATGAGTTTTGGCATCTAATGATTTTGATGTTATTGAGTATTGGATAAATTCAGATTCACTCATCCTGTGGTATGTTCCTTTGCTGCCCATTACAGCTAAAAAGCTGGTGCCAGTATAGTTACACTAACAGAGGCCTCTAGTGGGAGGATAGCAAATGCCAGACAAATGCTTTCTAATGGTATATAGCGGATGACATTAGACAAAACTCTCTTTTTCAGAATTGTGCTTACCGTGATGGTTCAGTGGACCTAGCTTGCTAGTGGTGTGATTGCTCTTCTCACTTTCCTAGCTGGCACAGGGTAACTATGGAAAAACTATAGGCTGAGGTCCTCAGGGATATGTGAAGCCGAGGTTCATCACAAGAAAGCTGCGCTTGAGTATTGGCATCACAGAGGGAGGCCCAAGGTCACTTATCCCTGGTAAGAGGTGGGGTGGAGCTAGAAGTGTACCATGAACACATGCCATGAGGGCATGCAAAGGAGACTAGATAGGAGGTGGGGGAGTTTTGCTGAGCCTTCAGCAGCAGGGCAAGTCGGTATATGAATTTATTGTGTGGATAAAGACACAACCTCACTGATAAAAGGAGAAGTTTTAAAAGTAACCTTGTCCTCATATGTAAGATTTTACAGTATAAGCTCTGACATTGATCTCTAACATTATCATTATCTTCAGCACTAAATAGTTGCTGCTTTATTTCAACTCTACAGGGATTCCCTAGGACTTCTTTCATCCGGAGTAGTTAAATCATTCCTCAGACCCCAGGCCCACATCTGGCATATATAATGCATCCTGGGCCTGGTTATTTACTCCATTAGATCAGTTTTATTCCAGTGTAAAATTGATATAATACAGAATCAAGCCTCCAGCCTCTCTGTTTGAATTGCCAGCTCTTAGCTCTAGTACAGAAGAAAATAAATCAGTGTATCTGTTATGTATCTCTTGTCTTTCTTACCTCCAGAGGCAAAATCATCTCAGATATGTGCCCTGGAGAGCAGAAAAGACTGTGTGTTTTCAGCTTTGGTGATATTTCTTGCTTCTTGGGTCAGAAGATTACACAGCAGTCTCAACAATAACATAAACTCCAAACAACAACAATCCTCTGAGGTGCTAGCTGCCCAAGTTCTAATGAAGAAAAACATCCACTGAAAACTTTGAAAAGAAATAGGAGGTGATGGAGAGGCCTAATTTAAATGTAACTTTATTCTTAAAGTTGTTTGACTCCTGAGAGCAGTAATGCTGAGGAAAATGAATTGTACCACTCTACCTCATGACCGAAGTCCAACTAAA